GTGTGTCGGTGGCTGTGTCTGTGGGTGTGTTTGGGTGGGTGGGTGTGTCGGTGGGTGGGTGTGTCGCTGTGTCGGTGGGTGTCAAATCTGCTGAGCCCTGATTGGCTAAAACAGCTGCAGCTCCAGTCCACCTCCTCCTGATTGGCCCAGACTTTGCAGCCTTATGCTGCTCCCTGATTGGTCGAGACGGCTGCAGCCTGATTTCCAAAAGAGCTGCATTTCCTATCCGCCTCCTGATTGGCCAGCTTTAACCTACTTCCTGATTGGTTGAAAAAGCTGCAGCCAGGCGCCTCACCGTGATTGGTCGGAAATGCCTCATTTCAATCCGCCTCCTGGTAGGCAGCAAACACAGCGCTACAATCTGCATTCTGATTGGCCGAAAACGGTGACTTTTTCACTCCGCCTCCTGATTGGTCGAAGGCTCGCGGACCTCCGTCCGTTTTCCGCCTGGCTGGGCGGGGCTCCCCGGCCATGTTTCGGGGTTCCGCGCATGCGCAGTCGGGCGGGTCGTTTGGCGGGAGCGATGGCGGCCGCGGCCGGCGGTGACTCGGACGGCGATAGCGAGGAGCTGGTGCTCACCCCAGCGCAGCTGATCCACAGCCTAGAGCAGGTGCCGTGGGCTAGAGCGACGGCCTTGGGCAGGGGGAAGCGGGGGTTGCTGAGCGTTGGGCGCACTGGAGCAGACGCTGAGGTGCGGGGCCGTGGCCGTGCTTTTTCCCTCTCGCTGGTGGCGGTGTGTATCTGAGGTCTTCCTCGATTTCACTGACGGCGTGCCTTCTTTCAGGCCTGGCTGAATGAGAAATTTGCTCCAGAACTGCTAGAGAGTAAACCTGAAGTCATCGAGTGTGTAGTGGAGCAGCTGGACCACATGGTAGGTTCTCCTGGCTCGGGGGTTGCTACAGGCCCTGGTTGTCTCCTCCGGCAGATACGTGCCTGAGCCTCTTTGAGAGTGCCGGGCTTGTCTGCTTCCCTGTCTCTGAGACAGCTTCTCCGAGCTTCTTCGAGCTTGCGTTGGAGAGGGGCTGAAGTACAAAGAAGCAGAGTGCTTTGGGTCGTCAAAAGCAGCCACAGTCTGTTTTTGTGGGTTCTGTATACAAAAGTTATGTTCTTCATTGTTTCTTGTTGTTTGACGTTTCAACCATTTATTTTCTCACTGCTTTTTCTTTCAGGAAGCAAACCTGAAACGGGGAAAGAGAGGAGACCTGAGGGTCAGTGTTCACCACATGGAGATCGAAAGGATCCGCTATGTGCTCAGCAGCTACTTGCGGTGTCGGTTGGTGAAGGTAATGCTTGCTGTGCAAAAAGGGTAATTTCAGGAGGGATTTTTTACCTACACAGGGCTTCCTGCCTCAGCACAGCATTTAATTAAAGCATGTTCTCTCTCTGTTCTCTGAAATGTAACTCAAAGAAATTAGTTTCTTGGACACACTTTTGTATTTTAATGCAGGAAGATCGCAGCAGTGTTAATCAAAACATTGAGAGCGCTGAATGCTGTCCCATTCTGCCTGAGTCCTGCTGTGTGCATGCATGGTTTTATAGCTTGGTGATCCCATGTGATGTCACAGTTAGTTCAGGAGCAGGGATTTGGACAGGCCTGTGGCTGCTCCGACAGCTTGTGGGGAACCGAGTGGAGAGAGGGGGTTTAAGCACTGAATTCTTGGGAGAGATCTGTATTACTCTTTTTGGATTGTGTTCCAATATTAGATAGAGAAGTTTTTTCCCCACATCCTGGAGAAGGAGAAGTCTCGAGCTGAAGGGGAGCCCTCCATTTTATCACCAGAGGAGTTTGCTTTTGCTAAAGAGTGAGTAGGTTTTCAGTGTATCTTCCTCCTCTTTTATTGATTAAATAAATTCACCTGTGTGTTTTTCTGAAGTTCTTGAGACCATGAGCCTTGGACTTATTTGAAGTAAGAATCAGTGTGTCTTACCAGGAGGTTTCCTTATGGGCAAGAAAGGAACTAAAAATAACTGGTGACTTTGAGTCAGTTACCAGGGTAGGCCAAGGACTTGTCTATGGTTGTGCCTGTGGGATGAGGAGCTGTTGCTTACTCTTGTTTTGAATCAATACTCTCCCTGCAGATTTGTATTTGATTAACCAAGTTGATACTTCAATGATTTGTTTCAGGTATATGGCAAACACAGAGTCTTACCTGAAAAATGTGGCCCTAAAACACATGCCACCTAACCTGCAGAAAGTGTCTCTCCTAAAGTCAGGTGAGTCATTCAGACTCCAGAGTAATCTAAAAATTGTAGAAGCAAGGGGAAGTATAGGGAAAGGAAGCCCCAAATGTAAGCCCCAGGGAGCCCCAAATGAAAGGGCTGGTCTTCCACTTACTGCTCAGTTGGAGCAAAGGCGATGTGATGACAATGTTGTAACACGGTCCCATGCTGCTGCCAGGGGATCATGCTGGCCTCTAGTGTCAAGTCTTGTCTTACACTGGGGCTGAGCACACACATCCGGTTAGAAGTCTCTGGTGTTCCCTTTGCTGGCTATAAGCTTGCTACCCATCAGACCCCCTCAGTGTTCTGCAGAGGAGCATAAATGAGGGCTGAGTTTGTGCTCTCAATCTGTTGTCTGCAGTTCCAAAGCCCAACCTGGACTCCTTTGTGTTTCTGAGGGTGCTGGAGCGGCAGGAGAACATCCTGGTGGAGCCAGAGACAGATGAGCAGAGGTAGGTGGGCATTTCTGCATGTGGTGCAGGTACCAATCAGTGTCACAGGTGGCCGTGGGCTGCAGCTCACATCCCACCTGTCTCTGCAGGGAATATGCCATCAACCTGGAGGAGGGATCACAGCACCTGATGCGCTACAGAACCGTGGCCCCTCTTGTGGCCTCAGGAGCCGTGCAGCTCATCTGAGGGGAGAGGTAAGTGTGTGGTGGGAGGAGCAGCTACTGCATCATCTCTCCTGCCCACCCCACCATAGTGGGGCTGGCAGGAGCTCCCTGTGGGGCTGCCTGGGCCAGGTCTCCTCTGGGGCTGGGTGCCCTCCCGGGGCCAGGTCCCCACTGACATGGCAGGCAGAGCACAGTGGCACTGGGGCTGAGTACCACGGTGTTGTACTGCAGAGGTGTTCATTACCCCCACAGTTCATCAAGCTCAATGATTGCTTGTGACGTGCCCAGCATACAAAAATACAGTCCTTACTGTGGCATTCCTGGGTGAGGGCAGGCTGTGTCACAGGGTAGTGTCTGGAAAGCTTCAAAGTGTAGCTGCTGGGATGCCTTGTGTAAGAGCTGTGGCAGACAGCATCACTAAAATGGAACAGCTGTGGTCATGGACTCAGGAAAAAGTAATTTCTGCTGTGTGTCATCTGGATATCCTCCCTACTGAGGGTGAGGGGTTCTGGTACAGCTTCAGGTTGCATTTGTGAGACTAGACACTGTCAGATCCCCTTCTGCAGAAGCCACTTGCTAGTGGGACATGCAGTCCATTTTTGCTAGTAACACAAAGCAAAAGCTCCTCTGGTCCTGCTGCCCCACGCAGGGGGCATGGCCTGGAGAAGCCCAGGGTGTTCTGTGGTGCTTCAGCTCAGAACGTGTCAAGTGTGTGAGCAGACAGGGGCTTGTGTTCATCAGGGCAGTCTCTCTTCCCTGCATGGTCTGCATGAGGTGTTTGGGGAGCATCTTCCTCTATAGCACTGGGGGTGACACAGGACATCTTGTAGTGTGAGTGGCTTTGCATGTGTGGTTTATAGCCTTCCTAATTAATCCATTTAGGTAAAGAAGATTCTTTCAAGTATAGACATTAAGAGGGGGCTGGGTTTAATCCTTAGGAATCAGTAGCATGTTCCTCTGGACAGCCCCCAGGAAGGGTTTGTGAATTGTGCCCTACCCGTATTTACAGCCAGACAGCTTCACAGAGGTGACTGAAGCTTCCAGACAAAATCCTTGTTAATCTGCTGCTGTGGAAGTGTGCTCCACAGGATCTGCCTGAGGAGTGTGTAGGTGGCACGTCTGCAGGCTTTCTCCTTGGCCTTATTCAGTTTGACTGAATGCTTGTCCAGGCAGCTTGTGCTTGCCACACAGCTGCATGTCACATGGCTGCAGCAGTGTGAGCATGAGGGGCATCTGTCCTCTTCTAGTGGCTGAACTTTAATTACTCTGATGGTTTCCAGAGTGCCTTTGGTGCAGCTCATCTCTGGAGCTCGGCAGCTGGCACATGGCCATGTCTTCACAGGCTAGGCAGGAGAGTGGAGATGGCTAGTAGGCTGAGATCAGGTAGGCTCCAAGTTGTGGCACACCTGAAAATGCTACCTGCTTTTGTGTCCTTCCATGACTGAATACTGGGACATCTGTGGAACTGCTAACACTGCACCCTGTTCTGTCTGTGCTGGGGGAAGAGGTGTCCACAACTTTATTGAGAAAATAATGGTTTTGGCTTGTACTTTTAGACAGGGAAGACACAGCAGTGGATCCACCTTCATCTGTGCTGCTGGGAGAGAATGGGTAGCTTTTCCAGTGTCCATGGGTTTTGCTGTTAAACTTGGGGTCAAATAAATTCCTTGTTCTCTGCTCCTCTCTGGGTGGAAATAGCTTGGGTTTATTTAGTGATTAGCTCTGAACGCAAAGTAGATGGATGGTGGAAGAGGTCACGGAGAGGGCACTGAGATGAGCTGCAATTTCCCTGCCTGAGCTGGAACTGCTCTTGTGGGGGCCAGAGCAAGGTGGGACAGTTGGTTTCATTGCTAAGACTCATGTTTGTATCGGCTACTCCCAGTCGCTGAATTGGGGGGGTTTGCACTGTCAGTCTGAAACAATGTGTTTAAAGGATGTTTTTGGATCCTGTTTTTGCCAGCTGGGCACTGGGTTCAAGCTCAGTTTGGCCATCCTGTGGGAGATGTCTTGCACTGTGCTGCAGACATTCAGACATGGTGGGGATGGAGAGGTATGTAGAAATATTGATAGGTCAGTCAGGTGTGTCATGAGCTGATGGAAATCTGTGCTATCAGCAGGAACAATCAAGGCTGCTTAACATAAATGGCTAGACAGCTCTGGGGAGATTAGCAAGGAATACAAGGCAGGGGTGATCTGATTGAGGTGACAGTCTTTACTGTCAAGGAGTCACATGTGAGCTGAACAGTGAGGATGATTTCAAATATAGATGTTAGGGACCCCACATCCCTGTGGTGCTTGGCTGTGAGCAAATTTCCTTCTCAGTGCACACATCTAGGACAGGAAGCTTCTGAGCTGGTAGAGGATGAGCCGAGGGTCTGTGGTTTTCTCTGCTTAGACACCCTGGAAATAGCTGTCTTTGGAGAAGCATCCGAAAAGAGATGTATCAAACCAGTTCAAACTTCCCCCATTAAAGGCTAGGTAAGAGGAGCGTGCTCTTCTTTCTCCCAGAGCTACCCGGTGTTGATAGTTGCACAAATGCTGGTCCTCCAAAAGCACTCGTGTTTTTCTGGCACGCATTTCTGTGCTGTTCCCGTTAGCCCCTGCCTGGCACGGTCGCGCCCCGCGCTCTGCCCGGGTCCCGGGGCGGGCGGGGCGTGCCGGAGTAGTCGGGCTCCA